AATTCTTGAGCCTTGGTCATCGTTGACACGAATTGATCCTCTTGCGTAGTACTGTCCTGAGAAGATGCGATGAAGCCAGTGAGAGAAGCGAAAATCGATACACACAGACCTGCGATAAATGAAGGCCGAGAAGCTAGGAATCGCGCTCCTCGACGTAGAAGAAATCGGTAGATGCCCATTGTCTCCTCAGCGCACTCGAAAATAGTAAGATAGGGACGTAGGTTATGTAGGATCATCTCCAGAGGGTACCCGTCCCAAGCAATGGGACCAGCAAGACTGATGACGATACGAATTTTGCGTATGATACTACAGGTGTGTAGAGGGCCCAGTGCTGGCCTTGCTCTGTCCAAAAGTTGTCTGTACAAATGGACTGAGAATGCTGGCGTCCATATATCACTCTCCTTCAAATCAAGTCGTAAGCACAGGTATTTGACCTCTTCCGGGAGACAGCGTGCTCTGAAGCACGGTTGTTGGGCGAGTGGTAGTTGGACGTTTTGACCCGAACCGTTCACCATTTCTTGCCAAATTGCGAGACTCGGGCTGGGTAGGGCTTTTTCAATTCCCCTGTCATCTTGAAGAGACAGCACGAGCAGGGCCATAATGTCTGGGAGGCACTCGCGAAGTCGCTGGAGGTATATTTGAGACCCTAGCTGCTTTCGCACCAATTTTTCCGAGCCATCATAAAGACGATCGTGCTTCGGTACGCTAGTTTCCGAAGCAAGAGTGTACGCTTCGGCATAGGCAAAATTTCCGCTGAGTAGAAGATTCCAGTCCTGACCAACTAGCTGAGCCAGTTCTTCTGATTGTTGAGACCCTCTAAGGGCGATCTGCCCCGTGAGCTCCCCGACATTGTCAGCAACCATTTCCTGCAAAGAGGCATACTCGAACAGTTGGAAAGGCATGCTGGCAAGGGTCTCCTGCGACAGCCATGTGTAGAATATCTGGGAAGAGAACAACTTAAAAAGCTGCCTCGGCCCTTGGAGTTTGAGTACTTCGCACGTCCTGGTGATACAGCCACGTCCGAGTTTTGTTGCAGAAGGAACGTGTGCGACTGTCTCGAATAAGTGATACATGGCTTGTCGCAGAACGGTATGCCATCGAGCCCCAAGATAAGACACAACATACAAGCGCACAGCAATGCCTTCTTTGTTGTCCGGGTCCGAGGGTAATTTGGTGACGATATCATCGAAGATTGCCTCGTGTTGAGTTAGGACGTACTTTTCGAAGATATGAGACAATTGATCCGCAAGCCGATACTGGCTCGCCGCGTTGCTAATCTCCAAGATATTCAACAGGCTTGTTCGGGGAGAGGGGAGGTCTTCGCCACCATAAGATGCGTCCTTTCGTAGTAGGGCATCTAAAAGGTCCGCAAGTTTTGAGAGCACTCTCGGGGATGCAACGCCTTTGCGGGTCATCGTGTTGAGGAACCAGTAATAAATGTCATAGGCAGTGTCCGCCAAATCGTCTTCTTCGTCTTCAGCAGTCCAAAGATCCATGAAGCTTTTCAGTGCGTCGAGACAGAAACACAATGCGGATTCGCATCTCTCAAAGGCTTCATCCCGCAGATATAACTCGGCTAGCTTCTTGAGCAAGCGATGTGCATCTCCGCGAGTTGTTGCAGTGTTCAGATTGAGAAATTCTTGCACTGCTCCTCGGGCGCCAATGAGCAAGACGGGATCAAGCACTAAGACCTCATCAATAACCAGCCCAGTGACAGAAGAGTCAAAGACTCCTTTGGATTTGACCGTTTGAAGAGCCACTGTCAGCTCCACCAAGTGCCTCGCCAAACGCGCAGGAGCATCTTTGCATATCGGAAGGTCGAGCCTCGAGATGTCGATGCCCGGGCCAAGCTGACTTCTTTGAGTTGCCTGAGAGTCCCATACATCATCGTCCAAGAAATCCAAGTCCGAAGGGTCGCTTGTACTGGTCGAGGGCATAGCATGACGAGCAACACGCAATGCAAATTCGATGACGGCTTGATATTCTTCGCCGAAACAACGGTTATCGTTGTGCGCCAGTTGTTTGTGTGTGGTGATAACACAATCGCAGATACGATTGACCATTTCCCGAGAGTGATCGATGGTTTGGCTGACAATAAAGTCGGCGAGAATGCGACGGCTCTCAGCTAGGACCAAAGGCTGTATGTAACCGGGAGCTTGAGGACTGCAACGAATCCATAGCGCAGAGGAGACGACGGAGGTCACACCTAGAATTTCCACAACATCACTTCCAATATTTGAAGGTCGGTCGTTATAGATCACGTTCCATGAGTAAAGAAACTCTCTCGTCTTAGATGCTAGAAAATCCATGACAACTCGGAAAAAGCGAGCCATGGCAGACGAATCAAATTGGCGAGGTAGAGTGTTGAGATTCTCATCTGCCTCGATCTTGGAAGGAGGAATGGCAAGAAGATACTGCAAGAAGTCGATGTTGTCTGACGCTATCAGGGCAGATTCGAACAACGAATGCGTTGATGTCCAAGCATGACTGGAAACGATCGCATCTGTGAGGCCGCAAATGGTGCCCAGCAAAGAATACAAGAGCTCTGGCTTAGCGTGACAGACAATATGTGCATTATGAAGGCGATCAAGATTCGAAGCTGCAGTAGAGGGTTAGTCTTTCTAGCATATGCTTGGACAGAAACAAACGTACGGACAGTCCAGCGAGCAGCGAGCCAGGAAATGACCTTCAGACCGAAGGACTCAAAGCGTCTCTCGTTGTCAAGCAGTTTAGAGCGCAGCGCCCGTGTCATTAACAGTAGAGACGTGTCCGTGAGACTGCTGGGCCCATTGTTACCACCTCCGAATAAGGCACTGTCCAATGACTTTCCGCTTATTGACGACTCCAACGTCCCTATTCTGAGAAGGACGTCGAGTGCATGGCATGCAGCCCTCGTTGTGGAGTTTACTGCCATTGCTCTGCTCGCTGCGTCCCACACTTGTGGCCAGAAATCTGGGTGCTCATGAGCGCGACTGGCACTACCGACCGCGAGGCTAGATTGCGATGAGCCATTGAATCTGAATTCCGTTGAACAAACGTACCGTGAAAATACCAAGAGGATCCATGTTTGAATGGTAGGATCTTCGCTACCAACGTCCGGTATTAGCTTGTAGAGATCCTTCGTCCATTCCTGCTCCATGTCCGAGGGCTGATCAAGGAGAAACAAGATGACCTGCAAAGCAACCAGTTTATCTTGCCCAGTTCCCACCACTGCTAGTTCGATAATCTCGTCCAGGCGGCTCTGAATTCTCTGTCTCTTCCGCGGAATATCGTCTGCATCAGTTATAGGAAGCTGGGTATGTCTTATGTCACTCAGTCCAACAACAAGACACGCAATGATGGACAATATAAACCAGCTGGATACTGCGCGCGGGGAGTTTTGAACAGGTTTGAATTGTTTGAGCTGCAGAGGAATATTGTCTGTAGTGAGAATTGGTTGCAGGTCATCAAAATGTAGCAGGTCCCTCTCGTTTCTAGTGCGATAGTCTGAGAGGATAGTGATTAAAAGTGGTTCTAGTAGTGCTGGATCGATCGCGGGCCATGGCGCATTTGGAGAAAGAAGCAGATAGCGACATGAGAATAAGGTGATGAGCATCTGTTGCTGAAGAAGGATAGACCTGCTAGGCCACAATCGCCTGATGACGGGAATGAGGGTAACCAACAGTGTCTGGGTGAAGGCAACATCTTCTGTAAGAGAGACAAAAAGGACGTTGTTCACGGTCTCAAATGCCCCTTCTTGACCTCTCCTATCGACTTGCAAGAAGTCTTGAACTTTCTGGGCAATCGTTGCTGCCCGTGACATGACTGGCGCATTGATAAAAGACGTCAAGTGCTTCAATGCAGCCCAAATGTCTTCGAAATTAGAGGCATGTCCTTGACTCGTGCTCCTAAAGCTTGTGTGACTGAGTCGCATGGACAAATGCTGATGGTCTCTTGGAGTCAAGCTGGTATCTCTACCGCTTGAGACTCCGTCATCAACCGCGCCATCATCTAGCCCAGCCGTCAGACACTCAAGCGCAAAGTCCACATATGCTTGCCACTGTTTGCGGCGCATATGTTCTCCATGCGGGGCATAGCCAAGCAAGATTCTGAAGCTCTTGAGGTAGTCATTCTGGAGAGGCTCGCAAAAAGAACCATCTGGTGAGGGCAGGGTGTCGATGATGTGGTCCAAGACCGAGAGAGCAGTTTTGAAAGTGAGCTTTGGGGTAGCGACCTCGACCACTAGGCGGAGGGCAGCCGATGCCGCTTGCAAACGAGACGAAGCAGTGTTCCTCGTCGTTGGCTTGGTGGTGGCTCGAAGGAAGACAGGCTTCTCCTTGGACACTAGCTTATAGAGCAGCTCCAATATCCTATGGAAGATATCCTCCTCAATGTTGTGCCTAGATCATCTGATCAGCCCATTGCTGAAAGGAAGCGAATGGGAAAATATACTGGCTCCTCTCTTCCGCCAGCAGGCGTTTGAGGTCTAACGCAACGCAATCAGCTCCAATCTGTCAGATGATGATCGAGTATTACCCTCGAGGCCTTCGCTTCTGAGCCTCTGAGTGTCCGCTCCTAACTTTGCTGTAATACAGACAAACATTGTCAGTCGGCAAGGCTGAGCAATAGGGAGACTTCGGGGAATCTCGAGTCCGTACCAACAGCAGTTGCAATATTCACCTCCGACATCTCTCCGGTCAGCAGAGCGGCAGGACTGATCTGGAGTGACAGTCATGATCTAAACAGGTAGACAACATATACATCTGAAAACAAAAACAAGTCACTGGGTACTTTGCGGCGCAATAAGGCGGAGAGTCGAGGATGGCGAGAGCAAGGCGACCTGCGGACTTGGCAGCGCTAACCCGATTTGGGATTTGGAGGGATGCGACAAGTCAAACTGCGATCGCGCTCTGACCTTTTTTTCCAGAGACGCGCAGGAAGCCAACCCCAAGTCAACAAGTTCCCTCCCACCCTCCCCACGTTTCTCCCTCCTCGATGATCTCAATCTCGAGAAACTCCTCATGGACAGTCTCTCGCGCCTACAAGGTCTCCATGCTGACCTTGTCGCCTTTACCGAAACGCGACTCGCCAACATCGACCGTCTATGGCAGGAACTAGAAGACAGCATTCAGGATTTCAGGAAACTGTTGGACAAGACCGCACCAACTGCTGCTGACCGAGAGTCCTATAACAATGGTGTGATACATTTTGGTCCTCCTGGTGACTCAACCACTGATTCATGTGCAGGGAAACTCAATGTTATCGACCAGGAATACGCCGTCAACGATGAATTCAAGCATATCAGCCGGGCCATTGCAACCACCCTTGACCTAGACGAAATCGAGGCCGGAAGACTGCTCATCCAGAGTCAGACCGATATCCACACCACAGAGGACACGTTTGTGATGGATGTGGTGAGCAAGTTTCATAATCGCAGAGACCTCCTGCTCCAATCCCTCCGAATTACCCTCCAACAGTCACTCAGTTTAGAGCCTGACGATGGGGTCAGACGAGTCTTTGAGACCACTGTTGCCCGAGTTTTGGAGATTGATGGCGGTGTGTCCAATAACGGGTCAATTTACGCCAGGAAATGCCTCAGCACATTGGAGGATATTGAGAAGCTACAAGCCAAAGTGGCAGACGCACTTCAGAGTAAAGCACTCCTAGGTGGACCACGGGGGCCCGAGTTTTATGCCACCCTTGAATTTCAGCGAGACAGTCTATTCAAACAGCATGAAGCACTGGCTTGTATTCTCGCGTATTTGTTCCAAGGAGACTATACCAACCAGGAAGATCTGCGAAAGCTCCACGGTGTTCTGCCTCGCTGGAATCGCCTCGATCTTAATCTCGTCCACTATTTGCCCGCATTTTCCGCAGCATTTCGGCAATACGGCTCTCCCGGGAGCCACCTTTCTCAAGAGAGCACTGCTTCCCTCGACTCTGTATTTGGCTCACTGCCACAAGATGCTTCCTCAGCGCCCATCAGGCCATTCCAGGCGGTGTTAAGTCTCTGGTGGACTGTTGAATATAGCGGGCAATTCCGCGACCTGTCCGACCAGGACGCTGGTTCCGACAAACGAGCGAATGCAGTCAAGGCAGCATTGAAGGAGGATGCCTTGGAATTTATGCTTGCAATATGTACAAGCACCAACTCAGATGTCTGGCGACATCCTGCCCGGCAGGAGCTGGTGGCTCTGCTTCTCAGCGACACTTCAAGTTTTGCGCTCGAAGGCGAGCAGACGTCATCCTATTTTCGGTTGCAATTCATGCAATCCCTGGAGAATTTCACAGAGGCATTCATTTCGAACATGCCGGACTCAATACGAAAACTCAGGACCGAAGAAGACGACCAAAGGTTGAATCAGCTGACAGCGATGCAAGAAGGCTTACCCCCTGCTAATCAAGGTACAAGCGTGAGCAAGCTCCACCTGGAATGCTTTCTCATTCTCATCTCGTTCGCCTTCGAAGGCAGACCTGAGGCTGCAGAGCAATGGTGGGAAGACCCCGACAGTAACTTGTATGGCTTCCTGCAGTGGGCATCCCGCCGACAAACTGTACCAAGGGTGAGCGCTTTCTGCGAACTCTTATGCTCGATTTCAGAAGAGCAGGAGTGTGCGGAAGCTGCCCACAAGTTCTTGCTGGACGACTCACAGCCTGCGCCCACACGTGGTAGACGCATTCCGTCCATGAACTATCAACAGATCTTTGCCGAGTTGGAACTTTATGCACAGAAAGTCCATGAACGTCCTATCACATCCCAACTGCCCAATGTGCGAAAGATTCAGCCTACCGATATGAACGAGCTGGAGAGCCCTGTCATGCTCTCGTGTTATCTGCGCTTACTCGCTCATCTCAGTCGACAGCCCGGTGGAACGCGTCAGTACATTCTACAAACCGTCACCCCCGCCTTCCCGCAGGCTCTCCTGCTTCTCAGTTCCGGTCCGGTCCCGAGTTATCTAAGAGCAAGTGTGTTTGCAGCATTGGACGCGCTGCTGACTGACAAAACTGCTCAAACGGCGGGCGCCCTGTGGCAGATCGTGGACGACTGGGCCGCAAACAGCCATGACAGAGCCCGACCAAGCGCTAGCAAAACGATAGCGCCCCCCAAGCCAACTCTACTCAACCTACAGAGCACCCTCAATTCACTAGCGATGTCATTTGATCAGTATGACGCCTTTGTCGTATTCCTCCGGGATCTAGTCGCTCCGTTACCTTCCACAGGGCTCGGGATGGATTTGCTTCCATTCCCCAAAGATCTTGGAGCATCATACCGAGCCCCCGGAATAACACCCTACATCGACTTTGTATGCGGACAAATCTTTGCCAAGGCTCTCCCGGAAGTTACTGATGAGCTCCAACGATCAATCGGCTCCTTTCATTGTCTCGAGTTTGTGGCGGTGGGCCTCGAGGGATTCAACGAAGACTACGTGGCGATGCTTGACCGAACGACAATCGCCAACGATGCTCTTCAAGAAATGCCTGAGGTGGCATCGTATGCTCAACGAAGTCCGTTTGCGAGATTAATGCAGTGGATCCTTGGCAGCGAGATGAACAAGCCATTAATGGAAACTCTGCGCGTGCCTGGAGAAGCTGTAGAGGCGGCTCTCCTGGACTCACCTTTGCTTCTCAGTCTACAACGTTCAATCGACATCATCAACCGGGTGCTTGACCTGCAGCCCACCTTTTTTGACATAGTGCGACCACTGGTCCAGTCTCACTCGGCACACGACGGCCCACTTGCTCGTCCCAATCTGAACAGCCTAGAAGACAGTCTGGCTGCCAACCCGGAGATTGTGCTCAGGCTTTGCCAATTTTCTGCTACTGGGCATTCGGAGCTCGCCCTTCGCGCTCTGGCTCTGCTGCAGAAGATTTCCAGCTCTCCAAAGCTCAACAACCATTTCCTGGCTAGCGATCCGACCCTCGGGCGAACGCGGAGAATTGTGGACATGTTGGGCCCTGATCCAGCCTTCGAACTCGAGCCAATAGCAAGAAATCTGTCTGCAAGGCTGCAATTCGAGGTCCGAGAGCTTGAGGAAGGGTTTGGGTCGGTCAGCTATCTTCTCAAAGACGGCATTCTGGCGTTCTTCAACGCGTGCCTCGAAACGCAGCCCGACCTTCCAAACATCGCGCACCTGCTGATAGGCTTCGCGAGACTGGGCGAACGTTTGACCATTTCTGACTCGATCGATGCAGCGACAGCCGTTTTCAACACCATTGTCGATTTAGCACAAAATTATCCCGATGATGAGGGTGGGATCATGTCATCCTGGTTGATACACATGAAAGCAGCCGCTCTGCGTGTGCTGAGACACCTCTGGTCGTCTCCGATATCTAGAACAATTGTTGTTGGGCAACTACGCCGGTTTCAATTCTTACAATCTTTGTACATCAGCCTACCGGTCGTCAACCAACAAACTCTTTGGGACGGCAACAGTGTGCTTGCCCCGGCTTTCTGGTACACAACATCAGCAGAAGCTCTTGCCGAGTTTCTCACATTTCGGGCGTCTCTGTACAATTACACTGTTAGTGAAATACGATCGGCGGCGAAAGATGGGCTGTCGACAGTTCTACGACAGACCTTGTCAACTCTACAAGGCAAGACTACAAACGTGGACGGCAGTATCATCACTAACCCTGATGTATTTGCCCTTTTTGACTTCCTCGAGCTCGATCTGTCCACCAATCTAGAGTTGGACCCTCAATTCTATGTAGGAGTTGACTTCGAGGTCTATTTAACAGACGTCGCAGAGGGTCAGTCCAGCGTCTACGATATCAAGATGATCCGCGAGTATCTCCATGCTTATCGAGCCGACATCATCAAGAATCAAGCCACGGCTCCCAGCAGTAGTAAAATCGACGAGCAATTTCTGATTGACGAAGCCGATGCCATACTGGCCACAATCGAAGCTCGAAATAGGTCCATCCTTGCCCATAAAGCCAGAAGCGATGCACTACACGAGTACATTGAAATGATCATCGCTATCATTGAAGCGTGTCCCATGGAGCCGACAACCAAAGCGCAATTTATCTTACAAATGCTCCAGGCCATGCTGCCGAAGCTCGATGTTTTTATCGTCGATGGCAGGGCTGATGTGATGGAACTGGCCCGAGCTGCTGACGCCTTACTCTTCTCCCTCTCCCAAACAGACCTTTCAAATGCCCACATGAATAATCTCATCACAGAGAAGTTATTCCAGCTCTTCCGCGCCTCAGTCGAAGGCATCGCAGCATCTAGCTCCAACACCAATTTGAGGACGGTATTCTACAGCATTTGCTCACAGTACTTGAGTCGTATCACGTCTTCGGCTGGTGGCGCCTCGGATGCCGACGCCAAAGCTAGACGTAACAGTATGGACTGTGTGCGATCAGCGAGTCAACGGGTCGTGCAAATCTTGTGTGATGATGCAGAAGATGGAGTGGACGCCTGCAGGCTAAATGCTTTGAATCTTTTGTCGTTCCTTACTTCCCTGGCACGCTCAGAGAAGTCCAGCTTCGTGCTCAATTCATTCGTCAATGCCAATGTGCTCCAGATCCTCGTCGATCCCCTGAAGCACGTCGCGGCTGAGTTTCAGAGCTCGGAACCAGTTTGTACGTCTCCTACTACCATGGGCGAGATCATTATTTCATTGCTAACGTGCCCAACCTGCAGATCGCCGCTATCTTCTCTCCGTCTTCGAAGCGCGCATGTTTCTCCTTCTACAACTCTCACGCACCCGGGACGGCGCAGGAGCTCTCCTCGATGCAGGCCTCATGTCTGCCGTTCGCGACTCCAGTCTTTTCCGAGCGGATCCCGATCTCGGCATCTCGATTCCTTCTACTTCTGGCGACGCGCCCGAATCCAACAACCATGCTGCCGATTCCGCTCTATCCGCCCTCCGAACGTACTATGTCCTCCTAACATCGACCCTCCGCGTCCTTCTTTCCGCTTTCCTCTCCAGAGGTGCTCAAAATGAGCAAATTCAATATCTCGCCCGGTCCTTTCTGACGGAATATCGACCGAACATGGTGGGTGTGTTCAAAAAGCACGCAGGCGTAAGTGGCAAAGTGGACCAGGTACTGAGGCCATTGGTGGAGGAATGTGTGCGGTGCTATACCGGCCTGGCAGCATTATCAGGTTTTATGGATTTTGAAGATCAGGCAGGACTAGATCCTGGACGAGACGCTGGATTCTCGTAAATGTACCAACATGTGTCCCCGGCGAAGACTAAGAGATCAGGAGACTAGGACATAGTGTGCAAACAAAGGTCATGAAGATATGAGCAAATCTGGTTCATCTGACAAAGATTCATGACTGATGGATTGAGTGAGATCATGTCCCTTTTGCCGCACTCTACTTGTAACGTTTTCTCCTGTGGCCGTGATGCTCTTCGTTTCCTAAGTTCGTCGTTTCTTTCCGCCAGGGTTTTCCACCTCCCCTCCCAGTGGATTGTAGGGTAGATGTAGTCCCAGGCTCGTAGACTACGCGGGAAAAGTGACAATGAAAATGTGTTCAATTTTTTTTTTTTCCCGAGACAAAAGAAAAAGAAAGGACTCTCTAACAAGAACAAGACAGGGCCTGGCCATTTAGAAATGGCGACCAACAGGCAGAGCCCCCGCCGCCATATTCACCCCCTGCACAACCCAGCACGGCCCCCAGTGAGCCCCGGTCCCAGCCCTAACCCCAACATAACACGTCCACTCTCGAAAGAAGGGAGAGCAAAAAAAAAAAAACAAAAAGACAAGACAGACAAGAAACCGGTTGACGTCTAGAGGACGCCGACCCGATCGTCCTTGCAGACGGTCGGGCCGGGACTGTCCAGCGCGGCAACAAGCGATGCGGGCACCGGCATGTTGGCCACGACGGCCTCGAAGCCCCCAAACACGTCCTCCTCTGACTCGACGCTGATGTCGCGCCGGTGAAACATCCCGTCCCCGTACTGGGGCACGCGGATGGCAAAGGGGCCCCGAGCCGCCCTTCGCGCGCGGCCCACCGCCTTGCGCTCGGTGATCTTGGCCGAGGTCTTCAGTTGAAGGCCTCGGACGGCCGCGAGGGCGGACTCGGGGGCCCGCAGCATCCTCAACACCTGGGGGAGGGCGTAGAGGTGCTTGACGACGATGTCGTCGGGGAGGCAGAAGGCGTGGACGGCCACGTCGGCCAGGATGGTCGACCAGACCTCCATACACGAGTCGCGCAGGTAAAACGACTCTTCGCAGGTGGTTGAGAATCGGACGGTGTGCATGTTGGCCAGTACGAGGTGGTACTGGGTGCGACAGTCGTAGAGGAACTCGACCACAGGGCGCAGACCACGGGCTCTCCACTCGTTGCTGAAGCGCATGACAATTTCCGGGTTGAGACGTGCAGCGTTGGCCTCGTGGACCAGGAAGTTGTTGGTGGCGGTGACCAGGAGGAGTTCCATGTCTCCCAGAACGCGGGCTTGGGTCGCTGGATCGAGAGACACGAGAGTGCGAGGCGCAGTGGCTGCGGCGCTTTCCTTCATCCACTCTTCCACTTTATCTGCCCCGGTAGGTGGTTGTGACTGTTCAACTTAATTAGCCTGGCCTCAAAAAGTCATGTATGAATGTAGTCCAAACACTTACCACAAAGGGATGTTTTAAGAAGTCTCCAAACCTCTGCAGGCTCGACTTGCTTTTTTTCTTCTCTGATCCTTGAACTCGTGTGGGTGTACCATAATTCACCTCCTCGGAGTCAGGGCGTTTGTTGATCAGGTTCTTGATTGGGGTCAATAGGCGTGACTTGGACGTATGGCGTTCAGGTCGCTCTGGTGGAGGTGGAGGCAAACAGAAGTTGGGAAATTGTTGACGGATGGAGAAGGCAATGTCTTCAGGCACGGTGGGTGGAAAGCCACGAAGATGATCTGGTATTTGTCCACGGACGGCAAAGAGAGGTTCAGGCGCAGAGACAGCAGGAAGAATGACAGGAGTTTCAGTGGATGGATTGTCCACAAATGGATTCATATTAGCAATGCTAGAGTACGTGATCGCCCTTTTCTCAACCATCAGTTTGTTTCCATTGCCATCGCCTAGCTTTGGGAAGACACCTTACGAGAGTGGTGGTTGTTCTATCTTTTGAGGCTCAGCTGCGTGTGCACCACCAAACTTGTCTTGGTGTTCGCGGACAGGAGAGAGCTGATGTTTGACAGGGACATCTTTTCGCTTGATACGATGAGCAGTCGGAGCTTGACAGTCTGGCTTGAAATCTGCAGAGGCAACAGTGTTCTTGGAGGTTGCAAGTTCTGGTTGACGGAAATGTGCCAGGCTCGCGTGAGTTGAGAGAGACTGAACAATTTCGCCAGGACTCAGCGGCAGAGGCTTGTTGTAGTCCATGATGGCGCTTGATGCGAATGGTGTGAGGTCAATGGTTCCGTCAAGTCCAAATGGGGATGGTTGTTGCTCTTGCTCGACTGGTGAGTGGGTGCTGATAATGGTGTGGTTGTTGGGGGACGCGAGCGAATTTGGGACGGTGGATTGAATTTGAATCGCAATGCTATCAGCTCTGGGTTGCTTTGCTTGGCTAGAACCCGACTCAGACCGAAAGAAGTTTCGCATGATTTCCATCCAACTGTTGCGTGAAGACTCGCGTTTCTGCCAGACCGGTGTAAGGCTGCGTCGTACAATCGATTTCTTCCTCTCCTCCACCACGGCCTCTTCATCCCCAGGAAGATTGATCTGTGACGAGTGCCGCTTGCGAACCTTTGGCAGCCATATTGCCCCGTCCAAAACTCTGGCTTGCCGATTAGCAGCGCGTGTCCTCTTGCTCGGCTCGGAGCTGTCACCATGGGGGCGTCGGGCAAAATGTTTGAGACTGTCTGAAAGTTTGCGCTGTCTCTCTGCTGACTTGTGATGCTCCGCAGGCTCTTGTCTATCGCATTTGCTCAACTCTTTAGCCGGCCCGATGTTACCAGCAGTTACAGGGCTGGGAGGATCTGACAAGTCACGACTTCCAGGGGTCTCACAAAAACCAACATAAGTTGGACTCGACAGCACAAGAGACTGTGGCGAACTTCCTTCCTGGACATTGTGTTCCTTGCTCGAAGACGTATCTTGTGTGGAGCCAATCTGTCGAAGAGTGACGATTTCGCCGTGCCCGCCTCTCAGGTTAGGTGTTTGATCCAAGAATGGCTGATGGGAAGAGAGCATCTCGAAAGAGACCAAGAGGGCTGAATCGACGTCTGCATCAAGAACAGACGGATCCACTTCAACGAATTCTTGCTGCGAAGAGCCACTTGCTGATGCTTCGGTGACGTGCGATCCTCTAGCAATGCTTGACTGTTTCAATGTCACTTGCTCAGGGATTGGTGACGGCTCCTGCTCTGATGCCAACAAAGTTCTGGTTCTCTGATGGGAATATGTGGTGGAGGGGAGTCGGTACGAGTTCTCTTCATCTGAGGGCTTAGCTTTGGTGAAGAAATGACTCTGAGGATACTCGACTCTTCTGTGCTCATTGTGAGAGATCTCTACCAGCGCATTTCTTTTTCCAGTCTCTTCCGCTTCCCGAGCTCGTTCTACTCTTTGGGCTTTCTCGGATTTGAAGATGAAATTCTGTGCCTTGAGTTTACGAATGTGGAGCTGGGTGGGTTGCTGCAGGACAAAGCTTCCCACTTTTGGAATAAAGGGGTTGAGGGCGTCATCCTGTGAATGGTGTCAATGTCATTTTCCCTGGTCTAAGGATGAGGGACTTACATTTCGGTGTCTCCAACTGTGACGCCACGAGCGCCAAACGTCTCCATCATCTCCTAAGCCGGCTGCGGTTTGTTCATCTTCGAGGAGGTCTTGCAGTACACTTGTGACATCGGGGAGACCTGCATATCCATATCGCTCCAGGATCAGGCTGTACACCTCTTCCATGCCGAAGGAGAAAGGATAGACAGGCACAACACGCTCACCAACTTCCCGCAGGAAGAAGCGGCATTCTTCTTCGTCGAAGCAACCAAGGTCTTCGATTCTGTTCAAGTTGTTGAGCAACGGTGAGGGGACTGTGGCCGTCAGGATGCGACGACGCGTGATGTCCATGATGGTGGATACAAAGAACGCAAAAACGAGTGCGCAGAAAAGAAAAAGAGAGCAAGCACAGTAGCGTGTTAGGACATGATGCGGACAATACAGGGAGTTTCGACACGATGACAACAAGGAAATGATTGCGCCGACTGAGGCAGGAGAGGAACGAGTGAAGCCTCACCCAACCTCCAGAGATGAGTTAAATGAGCGTTCTGGATGAGACGCAGAGGGAGCAATGGGTTGAATTCGTCTGAATGATATCTCGCTGCCGGTGCGGTCACAGTCTCGTGCCAAGTGTCACCGGAAGAATGTTTTTGCGTCCCGGTTCCGAAGGCAACGACAAGACCCATGAGCAAGTCATCCAACAGGCACGTGTTGCAAGAGAAGATGACCGTCTCTTCATTGTCCAGTCCAGGTGCTTGGTATTGTCAAAGGCAAACTGTTCACTCACAGACTCTTCACTCAATTCAATTCATGCTGAACACCCGTCCCCTTTCAGCTCAGAGGACTTCACAGTGTCACCTATCCCACATTGACCGGTATTGAGCTTGTCTCATTATTGATGTCTTCAGTTCACCTGATTTTCACAACGAAGCTCCTCCATTCAGGACCCAGCATGGCTGGTCACTCACAGCGTGGTACAGTGCTTACCCCTTATAGCAACGTCATACTGCCCGACAAAGACATACTCTGCGAGTCTGTCATTCCCAACCAGACATTCAGACCCATCACCCCATTACGCTGTTGCTTCAGTGGATGAGCAAACATGTCGTGGAAAGGGAGGGAGTTTGAGATCTGGCTGAAGTCGAAAGAAGACTGCTCTGAGCCAAGGCGCTAAGTCAAGGTCACATGTCTCCCCACTCTCCTCCTTCTTGAAAGGGGCAGCCTCACGTGACGAGCGAGATTGCCGATATTCATATCCGAATCTGCGGGGGACTACCGTCCACAGCGCGGTCTGACCTTGATGGTTCCTCCATGACGTTTTCTAATCCCCAAATAACGTTCTCAATGGCCGCCACTTCCTTTTCCCTGGCGCTATACATTGCCTGGTTGGTGACTGATCAAATTAAAAAAATGCCCAAGGAAGCGGATCTGGACCTGCTCGGGATAACACCACAGCCTGCCTTTTCAGGTTACTCCATACATCTGCACACCCACCTCCAGTTCTCACAGCTGCCTGCGGCAACGATTTCGGTGACTGGTTCGGGAACGGTCCTGCTCCTCGCTTCGTTTTGACGCTCACTCTGCCCGGCGCGCCGGGCCTCCAGATATCTGCCATGCCCCAAAGCCGAGCATCACTTCGTTAGAATACAATTTGATAAATTGACACTCTTCTTCCCATTCATTTGTCTCAAAGTCATCAACCTTGTCCTCATTGTGACAACCCTGACAAAACTCTACAGTACCTCGTTTGTCTACCTCTGTGTATCTTGACTGCGCCTCCACTTCTTGTCCATCCAGTTCTCCAACCACATCTCAAAATGCCGGCAGAGATACCCTTGTATGATATTGTGATCATAGGTGCTGGACCAGTGGGTTTACTGCTTTCAGTATCACTGTCACGATGGGGTTACAAAGTCAGACACATCGACAACCGACCAGTTCCAACAGCAACCGGACGAGCCGATGGTATTCAACCGCGGTCGCTTGAGATCCTCCAAAATATGGGACTGAAGCGAAAGATCATGGCTCATGACCCGGCGCGAGTTTTTGAGGTTGCATTCTGGGACCCATCACCTGGTGGGAAGATTGTGCGCACAGGTACTTGGGCCAGCTGTCCAGACTTCCTAGACGCCCGGTATCCCTTCACGGCGCTTCTTCACCAAGGATTGATCGAGCGTGTTCTCATTGAAGATGTTGAGAAGAACGGTACCAAGGTTCAAAGGCCCTGGACGATCACTCGGTTTGAGACCAACCACAAGAACCCGGAATATCCAGTCGAGGTAGACCTGAAGAACCTTGACAGCAACGTTACCGAGACCGTCCGAGCGAAATATCTCTTCAGCGGTGAAGGCGCGAAGAGTTTTGTGCGGGAGCAGCTAGGTGTACAGATCCGACACAAGGACCCAATCTCCCATGTTTGGGGGGTTATGGATGGCGTTGTCCGAACCAACTTCCCCGACATCAAAATGAAATGCACGATTCACTCGGATCATGGCAGTATCATGGTGATTCCGCGCGAAAACAACATGGTCAGACTCTACATCCAGATTGCCAGCTCCACAGATCCCGACTTCTCTCCTCGGAAGACAGCCACTGTGGAGCAAGTGCAGGCTGCTGCCAAACGTATCTTCCAGCCTTATTACTGCGAATGGGACCGTGTCGAGTGGTACTCGGTCTACCCGATCGGTCAAGGAATCGCCGACAAGTACACTTTGGATCACCGCGTCTTCATGGGAGGCGACGTGTGCCACACACACTCCCCCAAGGCTGGGCAGGGTATGAACACGGCCTTCCACGATGCCATCAACTTTGCATGGAAGGTGCACTTGGTAGAATCCGGCTTCGCTTCACGAGACATACTGTCTACCTACGAAGTCGAGCGACGCTTCATTGCTGAGACACTCCTTAATTTTGACAACAAATACGCTGCACTCTTCTCGGCACGACAGCCCACCGCCTCAGAAGTAGACGACGCGCACAACCATGGCCAAGGCGAACACAAGAACGAATTCGTTGAGATGTTTAAGGCCAACTGCGAATTCACTGCCGGATTCGGGGTTGCCTACAACCCAAACATCTTCAACCACTCCATTGAGCATCCTTTCCAGCACCCCCTTATCATCACCGATAGCCAAAAGCTGCGTCCCGGCCGGATCATGCCACCCTCGAACGTGACCCGTGTGGTCGATGCCAATGTTGTTCATCTCGAGAACGAAATTCCGTTCAATGGGTCTTTCCGCCTGTTTATCTACGCGGGGCTGTCGCAGTCGCCCAAGAAGGGCGCACACAAGGCTTTGGCCGACTTCGCTGAGAACCTAAGTGCAAAGGACTCATTCTACTCGAAATTTGGAAGCGAGGACCGCCGAAAAGACAACCACCACGACATGGATAATCCGCACTCTCGATTCTTCTCGCTCGCGCTGGTGATCGCCGCCAGGAGACCAGAAATCGAGATCTCCGACCTTCCCGCCCTATTCCGAGATTACTCTGGCCGGGTCTATGCCGACGACCGCAAGGACATCAAGGTCTTGGACGCCAAAGCTTCAGCTCACGCCAAAGTCGGGCTGACCGGGGATGAAGGCGCCGTCGTGGTTGTGAGGCCCGACGGACACGTCGGCATTGCTGTGCGCCTAACCGAGGGCCCCGGCACCGTGGAGGCCCTGGAGGGATACTTTAAGGGCTTCACTGTCCGAACGGGCTTGGGCGGTGGTGCTGACAGGCTGAAATCGCAGTTGTGAACAACGGCGCAAAAAGACATGCTAATGGAACGGGAATAATTCCTATATTGTTACGTCCTTATGAGGTTATCTGCCCAGATATAGTCTCGGGGTTTTCTGTACGGTTCAGCTCATTAGCCCAGGTTGTTCTGTCTCGCGTGGTGGCGCTGCTTAGGTCAAGAAAGGGGTTTGCTTTGTTCTCGCTATGAAACATCAGCTTTTTAAGGTAGCGATAGGTTGTCAAAAATGGAATTGCATATTTAAATTTCCAGAATTCTTTTCTCCGGGCTTTAGTGCGTTCCATCTCTGCGTTTCTTCGTGCCTCCCATCTTCGTCGTTCATGAATCTGCGAATCGAAACATACCTGCCTACAGTATTTATATCCATACATAAATACATTCATACGCATATAACCACCTAACGTATGTAGATACGTAGGCATCCATCCCCATCCGTCGAGCCAGGCCTGGCGCCGCAGGATTTCCTCGCTCAGTCCTCGCCCTTCAACCGGCCCTCGATATCCTGCAAGTCCTCGGCGTCGGCAATCTCCAGCACGCGATTCACCTCGGCGGTCGAGCGCATCAACTCGACCGCCCCGGCGTAGCTCATCCGCATGTTGGGGTTGCAGTTCACGGGCAGGTAGTACAGCAGGACGTAGGGAACGGATTGGCGTCCGGAAGCCTGTGCGGTGGGGAAGGTAGTCGTTTGTCAGCATAATTCGTGATTCTTAGGATGCTCGCAAAGGAAGGCTGGAGAGAGCAGGGAGGACGTACCAAAGTCAACGGATAGCTCAAGAGGACGAACCGCGGAGACGAGTCTGGGAGTTCGTCGGCCAGTTCGAGCAGGTCGCTGTATGTGTCGTCGGAGGAGGGTTTGATTTCTTGGGTCTTGGTGTCGATCTGATCTATATGATTTTGCAACGACGAGGCGCAGTTAGCCTCTGATGCTCATTCTGCCTGGTGAGAGACTAAGCAAACACTCTGATCAATCCAAGTCTCGCAAGGCCACGGTGGACTTGAGATCGGCTGCTATTGATCATGATGGTCCCATAGAGCGTGTTCCTCTGATGTGGCCTCTCAATTCTGCAAGGCCGGCATCACCCTTTTGAAGATGGAAGTCTCAAGGAGCTCCACGGATATCAAGAGCGCATCCGCTTCAAGACAACTCACAAATTTTAGCCAAGGGCGTCTTCGCCCTGGACGTGCCTAGCCGGAACTTGCGCAGCTGATCCTTGGTCTCTTGCGAGAAGGTGTAGAGCCTCGACTCTGACTGGTTGGGTCAGTGGGGAAACAAGAGAACTACAGCGTCGGTGTTGGTTGTAGGATAGAGGGGCAAAGTGTTCATGTTCGAGAACATAACCCTGGGATGGGAACGAGGAGCAATACCATGTTTGTTTCACTGGGCCCCTCTTGGACTCTACTAGAACCTGCGCGACTAGGTCTCTCGTCTATCCCGTGTGATCCGGGTTGTTCGTCACGGAGAGTGATTCCGACAACAGCGATGTTGTGCTCTTTGGCGCTAGCTCTCTAGAGGGCTCAGCCTTGTCTGGTGCCTGATCTTCAAGTAGTGGGGTTGCCTCAGATAGAAGGAGTTGACGCGAGAGTCCGCGGTGGATTGCGGTTCGACGTGAGGATTTTCTTAGCCGGAGATTCGCATCACTTGGTGCAAGTCCAGCGTCGCGAGATGATTTTATGGAATGGGTTGTCAGCGTTGGAGTAATTGAGATGTTGGACGGGCTGGCTGGCCGGTGGTCGGTTGATGGTGGGGCACATTCATCCTTCTCAGTCGGCTTATGTATCAACCTGCGCCCTGCATTTCTGTCGGCATCACTCTTCTCAATGCAAAACTACCGTTGAAATACAACGGTCTTTCCCATTGCACCCATCACCCCTCACTCGCTCCCCATCGTCCACGGCGATCAATGTTCTCTCGCCTCTCTCTAGTTGCTAGACACCTTCTACGACCTTTGCCGAACTACGCGCACCGTTCTGCCGCCGCCTTGTCCTCGTCCTCGTCCTCGATTTCGAAGATGACATCATCTAAAGTCGACTCCAGCTCTGCGTCCAAAAATGGAACGATACATACGGCAGGATGTATAGTTATAGGAGATGAGGTGCTAGGTGGGAAGGTCAGAACACTCATCCGCAATGGTGGCTTGGGATAAAGGCAGGACTGACGCCTGTGCGCGAATGTTGTTAGACTGTCGACACTAACTCCGCATATTTTGCCCGCTTCTGCTTTTCCCTGGGGATGCAATTGAAGAGAATCGAGGTTATTGCAGACGATGAAGACGAGATAATAGAGGCTGCTAGGCGCATGTCTAAGAACTATGATTTCGTGGTAACGAGTGGTGGGATCGGGCCCACGTATGTCTTTCCAGCTCTCCATCTTGAGCCGGCTGTGCATCCACTGACAAACTGAAGCCACGATGATATAACGTACAAGTCAATAGCCAAAGCATTTGGGCTTGAGCTCAAATTGCACGAGCCCACCATGGCCAAGATGAGGAAATACTCTCGACCTCACAAATCACAGCCAGATTTCGACTGGGATAAACCTTCACCAGCCTTGACCGCGAAAATGCGCATGGCCCAACTCCCAACGGACCCTAATATCCCCGATGAGGAGCAGGTCTTGTTTGTTAAGGAGGATCTCTGGGTCCCAATCTCGGTGGTGAACGGTAACATCCACATCCTACCTGGTGTGCCGAGGATATTCGAGACGCTGCTGGACGGGATGAAGCCTCGCATTCTTCCTCGTCTGAAAGATCCCGAAGGCAAGGGAATGTATCGAATGCTCTTTAGCACTCCGTTAGCGGAGAGCCAGGTCGCACATTACCTTACTGAATTAGCTGCCAAGGTCGAGCCCAAGGGCATCAAGGTGGGAAGTTATCCTCGATGGGGCAAGAACAGGAATGTGGTGACGTTGGTGGGCAGTGATCGAGAATACATGGACACGTTAGAGGCGGAAGTGGCTGCGGGTGTCAGGGGCATGAGGATCGGAGTAGAAGGTGAAGATGATACCGACGATGAGACCGATGTGAGAAAGGATAAAGATGCATGACGCTATTCTAGAACCCTAAAGATCAACTTGTGTGTCGTTTTCCTAAAGGACACCCTTCAAGATCGTGGTTTCTTTTCCGTTCAACGAACTACCTAAGCTCGATCCGGATCCTGTAAGCGAGGTCGTTACATGTGTCGCAGGCGATCTCATGCAAAATATTGCCTAGGTCGCCAGGATGCTACGCAAATCGAATAGAAGACGTGGGGAGATTTTCGTCAGAGGTCGTGTCTTATTGCATCCTTGGGAATATCAAGCAGCTAGCTTGCGAATCAAATGAGGAGGTGCCACACCTGGGAAACCACGTGGACCGAACACTCGCAGTCAATGCATCAAATGGTAGCGTCGTGGTTGCTTGTGCCTTCATATTGGTGCATATCATCACTCAAGCATGAGGGATTGCCAGTAGTGGTGCAGGTCCAGGTGGAATCGAGCAGACTTCAAATATGGGCAATTTTCCAGAATGTCACCCTGACTAAGTGGGATATCTGAAAGGGGGTTGACGATCGGCGAGCTGACACCCATCTTCCTCCACAGCTCTTGTACCTGTCATCATGTTCGGGCCTGCTGGGGCAGGAGGAAGATCAAATCGATACCACTTCTGCTCGTATTTCCGACGGTGTGGGTAACGACTGGTCGTGTTTGTCCTTTCACGGAATCCCCTTGCCCTCAAGAGCCAAGACGGACTGGTCTGTGGGTTGGTTTGCTCGCTTCTGCCAGGGGCTGGGTGGGAATAACAACCAGAGGCGGGAATGACGCTTGTGCTTGAACTCGTAGGCTAAAACGGTGACCTTTGCCATATGTACTCGTACTCGGCCATGTCGCTATAGATCCTGCCCAACAGAGGAGGCAGTGGCAACGCGGTATAACCGTTATCTCATGTTTGCTTCTTGCCCCTACCCGGCCTGTAGGTAAGGACTCGGTAGTGCGTAGCATGATGTCCCGAACGCATGGAAGCCACAACGTAAGAGGAGGAAGGTTTCCAGGACGTTGACAAGGGATAGAAGCGCGGTGCTAGGGGAAGGCATGTTCGAGACGGCGTGTGAACGGGTGTGATGGGTGGAGGAGCCGCCGAATCAACGGCTGGTCGAGGCATTAAGTGCAAGTTTTGGCTGGAACTGGGCGGGCGGGTATGCAGCGGTTACCGCCCACCCGGTTTTCTTGGGGAGCCATGTTTGGGTCAAGGTCACCAGAGGAAGGGGATGCATTTTCTAGCACTAACATGGGCACCACGCTAGGGCCCTTGGTTCATTGCCTTGTCGGCCGCACTCCACCAACTGGTTGGCGGTAGCTAGGCGAGCATAGGGGCGTTCGTTTTCGGTAGGGAATAGGGGGCAACGGAGGCTGTGAAGAAAAAACCGAGAACAAAAAACACAATTGATCGGGACTTGATCACCAAGGAGAGGTGAATGCAGGCCGTAGGTGTATCCGCAAGGCAACAATGGCTGCGTAAAAAGAGAGGACAAGGCCACACCACCCGAAAGTATAGTAGATCTGGCAAGCAAGAGAACCTCCTCGCAGGTAGGCACCTGATGACCCTATCGCCGATTATGGTCTGTACTTGTAGTTTGGGGGAGTACCGAACAACTGCAAGTATTCACTAGCACCAAGTAACAAAGCCAACCAAGGATGGTGGAGGGCGCAAAGGCGTTGCCTGCGATCGGGTTGGCGTCTCCCTCGCCCTCTTCTTGTCTTGGAACAAACATATTTCTTCTCCCTTTTGCAACGGCCACCTTCCCCAATGTATTGATTCTTTGCGAACCGATAGTCTTGTTGTCGCGAGAACGAGCACGATAAGACCACCGACTAAGTCCGTGTTTGGTCAAACAGAATCTCAACCAACCCCTCTCCTATCGCGCATTCTCACACTCACACACTCAAGTCTCCTCAGCGGCTGGTGTGATAAAGTGGTTGCAGTGCCTCCCTTCATCCTTCCCACCTGGCCCCCTTGTTGGCTCCTCTCCCTGCGAACCCTTGATCCTGGTCCTAGACTAGAGTCTCAGTCCACATCCACACCACTTCAGGCCAGCCCATTCCTAGAACCTCCCTGGCGTACTACTGCCCTTGACCCAAACTCTCCACTGTTCATTCTGCGAGCACGACTCACCATCGCTGTTTCCGTCAGTTCCTCGACTCTTGCACGACGCTTCTGAACCTTTACCTTCCAAACTATCCTCAACCGAGCCTCACAAGCGAACGCGAACCCCTCGAAATATTGCTGAGCTATCGAAACCTCCGTCTCTTTTCCTCCTCGCCTCGTCTACAGTCACCTCGCAAGTCGCTGTTACAAAGCGCTTCAACACCTCTGTTTCACTTCAAGCTGCCGAGGACGACCGATCATCCACCTGTCTCTCATTCTCCTCCTCCACCACCACTTTCCGTCGATCCTGATCACTTTGCCCGCGAACGGAACCCGTCCTCGCCTGCGCCCTTGCCCTTTTCGTCGGACGCCCTTTGGCCGAGCGCTCCTGTATCGCAATTTTGCAGTCTGAGCATCACTTTGCCAGGATAACGCCACCCTTGAACGTTTTTGGAATACCTGTCTCTGGGCGAGGCTTTTCATTCCGAGACCCCGAGCTGTGGCTGTAGCTCTCTGTCATGGCTTCAAAGGTGCTTTGACCCCGATTTTACACATTTCCTCTTCGTATCCTACAGGAGAGAATGTCACAACTAACGCAACCGTTGCAGTTTCTGCGCGAATACAAGCTGGTGGTGGTAGGAGGTGGTGGAGTGGGCAAATCGTGCTTGACTATCCAACTGATCCAAAGCCACTTTGTTGACGAATACGATCCTACAATTGAAGGTTCGCATGAATCACGAAAGTCATCAAACTCTGGAAGTAGGCTGACATACGTCTCCAGACTCATATCGCAAGCAATGCATGATAGATGATGAAGTTGCCCTCCTCGATGTTCTGGACACGGCTGGTCAAGAAGAATACTCGGCCATGAGAGAACAATACATGAGGACTGGCGAAGGGTTTTTACTTGTCTATTCGATAACCTCGCGACAGTCGTTCGAAGAAATCATGACTTTCCAGCAACAGATTCTCCGAGTCAAGGACAAAGATTACTTCCCCATCATTCTCGTGGGCAACAAGTGTGATCTTGAGTCGGAAAGAGTGGTTTCGAAAGAGGAGGGAGCTCAGTTGGCGAGACAGTTTGGCTGCAAATTCATCGAAACGTCTGCAAAATCCCGAATAAACGTTGACAATGCCTTCTACGACCTCGTTCGAGAAATTCGAAGATATAACCGAGAGATGTCAGGGTATCCCGGTGGCGCGCCTGGTCTTGGATCCCTAGGCCCTGGTCAAAAGATGGAGATGGATAACCACGCAGACAGCGCAGGCTGCTGCAGCCGGTGTGTGGTCATGTAGAGGAACGGGGAAAGCTTGAAGAAGAGGTCACCCATGGCGCAATACCCACATCTCACATCCCACAAGCGAATGGTTGCTGGGGCTCTTTGACCGCACGGAGTTTAAGAGTGCATTTGTCTCTCGTGGAATGGAACTGGACTGACTGGTTTGGCTTGCATTGTTTTTCTTGGGGTGCTCAAAAGTCGTTGAGAATCAAGATTTCTTGAGGCTTGCGCCGCAAAATTGAAAGATTATCTTCTTCTACATATTATTTGGGAGGTTGAAAAGGCAGGTTTTGGCAGTCATGGAGGATGATTCTGCCACGGCGTTTGATTCTTATGGGATGCAAGTCATACACCAGATACAGAGAACAGGCATCCCACTGGGGACAAGACGGATGAGGAGGGAGATTACTGAAGGCGGTCCACTAAGTCTCGCCTTTCTCCCAGAATGAGATCTTCGGTATTGAAACGCAAATGTCGTGGCTATGAACCTTGACCGTTGATGTTCTGTTGGATACCTGCACCTGCCAACGTAGATGTCGCGCCAGTCGTGATATGATATTCTGACTGACTACCGAGTCCAGCAGTGGTGGTGCTGGTGATACTTCGACCCGCTCCTCCTGCGCATTGTCCATTCAAAATCCTCCTGGTTCCTCCTTCACCAACCTTCTATGGCCTTTCCTTGTTACCATACACTTCCGCTCGTGAAACTTCAACTCCCACATCACAAATACATCAGCCACTGACCGAAATGGCATCAAAGCCCGGAGTCGTCACTGATGAGCAGGCTGAGGAAGCATCCAAGCCTAGCGCTCTCGCCACCAAGCGCAATGCCTTTTCAGAACTCATGTCACCCAAATCCAAGCATCCAAAGCCAGAGGACTTCAAGCACACAGGCAAGCTCAGCAACTCAGGCGATCCACGCAACGGCCTCCTCGCGTACATTTTGGAGCCGGCCAAGTTCCCCTCAGATATTGTCATTCTACATAATGATAAAACAGTCCTGGTTCGGGATGCATTTCCAAAAGCTACAGTCCATCTACTTCTTCTACCACGAGACCCAGCGAAACAAACTCTCAATCCGCGTGATGCCTTGGACGACCAGGAGTTTCTGGACATGGTGCGGACGGAGGCCTCTGCAGCCGTCAAGCTGGCGGCATCCGAGTTGTCCAGGTTGATCAGTCCTTACTCGGAAACATGCAAAGCACGTATTGCTGCAATGGAAAGCGAGAACCCTCCAGACAATCCACCACCTGGACGAGACTTCACCAAGGAGTTCAAAGTAGGAATCCATGCACATCCTTCGATGAATCATCTACATATCCACATCATCAGCCGCGACATGCATTCGGATCGACTGAAGCACCGGAAGCATTACAACAGCTTCAATACCGACTTCTTCATCCCGCTAGAGGATTTCCCGCTCGCACGGGATGATATCAGGCGCCAAACAAGCTATCAGAATGCCAATTTGACGAAGGATTACAAGTGCTGGCGCTGCGGAAAGATGTTTGGGAATAAGTTCACACAGCTCAAAGCTCACCTCGAAGACGAATTCAAAGCATGGAGGAAGGAATAATCTCGTCAAACACTTTTGTCTGGCAACATTTGACAGAACCTGCCGAGTGTGCTTAATGCAAAGTTATCTTCTCTGAAGGTGACGGCTTCATCTTGTTTCAGAGCCAGAATATCTGTCTCTGCCACGGTCGCGGCTGTAACTTCTCACTGGCACAATCCGCTCTCGCCGCGCATGCTCACTGTCACCTACATCCACAAAGATTCTTCCAGGGTGAATGAGTTCGGACTCATACCGTGTTTTTGGACTGCGGTTGCTGCGCTGTCTCGTATTGGTGGTTTCACCTTGCCGAGATCTGCCACTCTCCGAGTGTGCCCGCGTAACTTCTCTTTCTTCACGTTGTCGGACAAACTGACTAGCTGTGGTTGGACGTCGACTTGGAGTCAGTAAGCTGCCAGTCCTCGATCTCACGTTACGCCTGGCGGTGCCTCGAATACCACCGCCACCGCCACCTCGACTATCGCTGGAGCTGCCGTGTGCACTTCTTCCACGACCCCCTCGGCCTCCTAACCTGTTCAAGCAGCGCTTCACTAGTTCATCGGTCTCAAACACGTCTCTCTCGATCCTGCGAATCTGAATACGTTGAACTTGAGTCAACATGTCTTCGACAGTGGATCTACTTTGCCACCTAGCGGGAGTTAGTCCAGTTCGAAGTGCAGTCGCTAGAACTGAACCCACCAGATGAAACGATGGGCAAGATCGGTTTGATAGTAATGAGGCTGATGCTCGGGAGCAAATCCTGCTTCGGCCAACTCCATTCGACCCCTTGTCTTGGTCTTATCTGGTCTGGCACGGGGTTTCTCTTCGACATCACTTTCACCCCAGTAGTCGCCCTTCTGGACCTGCTCTGCGCGCAAAGGATTTCCTATAAGGAACGGCCGTTCGATGTTCTTGAACTGTTGCCATATCTTATCGATTGACGATTGGAGAAGTTGGGCCACTTCTCGCTGCTTTCGCGTCCGTTTGCGCAGCGAAGGAAAGACACCATACTGGTCCCCTTCACGGCATCGATAGCGCAGGAGAGCTCGTTCTTCTTCGATCTCTTGTCGAAGGTTGCCTAACATAAGCGGGATGGCCGTGTCAGCTTTGCGAATCGTTGATATAAGATCTCGATACACTCCTGCAATATGATGAGATTCGTGGCAGAAGCTGTTCTTTCAGACTCATTTACGCACCCAGCAAGGTTGCCAGTGTGATGGCAAAGGAGATGAATCCGATGATTTGAGATGCTAGAGCGATGCTCATGCTGACATTCCGAAGGGTGTCTACCCAAGTATCAAGCTTCCATACAACACATGGATACCTCCTTTGCCCTAGGACTTGGATGCAGCAAGCCACAACTGAACTATCCGGATAACGCCAAATCTGGAGGAGCGTGTGTACGTGCTTTAACGCTTAGATTGACTGACGATGTATAGTCTGAGCCAAACACCAATGAGACGGGAAAGCCAACTCATCCGCAACGGCCGCGCGTGGTCAAATGTGAATCATTGATGTTCCTGTCAATCTTGCTACAGGAGTTCGGCTGATCCGGATCCGGAAAAGTGTTCCTGGCTTACATCAAAAGTTCCAATTCTCCCCCCACAAGGCGGTTGCACCCGGCCACCTTCAGCACCGAACACCAAAAGGGAAGACTGATCTTCTCGTCGAGGCTCAGTGTCGAGGGGCTATCGGCACGAGCGAGATATACAGGGATGATACTCTATCATCTGCATCGGCAACGGTGATTCGTGGGTCATTTTGCCATGACGGCATTCCTCCACTGATCATCTCGATGTCATGTTCACATGGCGATACAAGAATAAATCTCCGTCAATACCTTGTGTCTGTAAATGCCTCAACAAATTCTACGGCCCTTCAATAAACACTTTTCGCGGTCGAGTGGAACACCATGCCGGACAAGCCACAAGCACCGCCAACCGCCTATCCTGCAAGCTCGCTAAAGGAACAAGACCAAGAAGGCGGTAAAGGACTTGATTCGAAGCTCGCGCCAAACGCCAACTGGACACAACTCGAGTTTTGGGACGATGAAGGGAATGCTCCCTATCTGAGAGATTATGAGGGTCGTGGCCTGCTCAAGGATAAAGCGGTGATTGTGACGGGTGGGGATTCTGGTATTGGACGAGCCGTTGCTGTGCTGATGGCGCGCGAAGGTGCCGACGTCACCTTCGTCTATCTTCCAGAAGAAGAGGAAGATGCCCAATGGACAAAGAATCAGATTGAGAAGGCAGGGAGGCAAGCTCAACCACTTACCCTGGATGTCACCTCGGAAGAGAACTGTAAGAAGATTGTCGAGGCACACATGAACAAATTCGGCAAATTGTCCGTCCTTGTCAACAATTCAGCCATGCAAGAGATCTGCAATGACATTGAAGACATCAATCTCGGGGTTGTGGAGAAAACTTTCCGCACCAATATCTTGAGCATGTTTGCCATGGTCAAATACGCCCTTCCTCATATGAAGCGTGGCTCGAGCATTGTCAATTCAAGCTCGGTTGCGGCATATATGGGCAATCCTCAACTTGTGGACTATAGCTCGACAAAAGGAGCCATCACCACATTCACGAGGAGCCTGGCACAGCAGTTGGCGCCTAAGGGTATCAGGGTCAATGCTGTTGCACCTGGGATCATGTATGTTTATCACAGCTTCCTTCTACAACGCCCACTTTCCTTCTCAACTCTACGACGTACTGACATTATCTCTACAATGACAGTTGGACGCCGCTTCAGCCTGCTACCAAAGGAAACCCACCTGAAGCAATGTCTGCGCTTGGAGTCGAGGAGGCACCCCTCCAACGGCCGGGAATGCCTGTTGAAATGGCCACGGCGTATGTGTTTCTAGCGTCACCTCTGGGATCATACTTTACGGGTGAAACCATTCATGGTACAGGAGGATTAGAGATGCAGGGTTGACTCCAGAACATATATATCCTAAGAATGTCACATTCAAGACAGACAGATATGGCCACGGTCCAGGAGGTTTTTTACTTGCACAAATCTACCGTTATTGCACCGCATCACGGAAACGCAGACGGCCAGGTGCTGCGCCAACCCAGAGACGAGGCTGTGAGGATGAAGCGAGGCGCTTTGACTGAGCCCCGACATTCAGCCACAGCGACTCCCGATTTTCTTTGTAAGTGATTGGCACATTCTTGTCTCCTGGTTCGCTTACTGCCTTACCTTTATCCGTACCTCATATCAGCTGAGCGACCTTATTCGTGGGACCTATGTGAGGCACTTTTGTTCTTGCCTTGTCAACCTTGCCAGGCCACAACAGACCTTTGTGTCCTCTCTTCTTCAGCCTAACCTGCAGCTTTCTTTTCTTTCCTTTTTCTTCGGGTTCGTCGAGAACTTCATACTGCAAACTCACTTCAACTTAGCAGATCTGAGCTGAAAGAATGAGCATACTGGGGATGTCCATATTCCCGCGTGCGTATTGGTTGTTCAGCGAGGCCTCATTCCCGCATGAGCACGGTCCTCAATATTCGATAGAGGCCTCCACAAAACAATAGATTCCGGTGGACAGGCTATGAATATGTCCGCTAGGGGAGAGACCGGCGGCGATGGGGTGGACGTTGGTATTTCGACGCATTCGGACGACCGTATCTCTCCCCATGAGTACATGCCCACTCTGATCTCCTCCGGGAAAAGCGACGAACATGAATTCCAACACAAGGCATCTCAGAAACACCTCGAGGAGCACGGAAGGGTCCGAGAAGACATGTGGATACAACAGAGCGAAGTCTACGACGACATTCAACGGTGCCGTGCAGACTCTGAAGCGAGTAGTCGAATGAATCGGACCAAAAAGCGTGACAGTACCTTTGAACGTCAACAACCTCGAAAGTTGCCCTTCGTGTTGGATCAGCCGCAGGTCGGCAATAAAAGTGGCGTTGAAAGCGGTCATTCGTCCAGTATTACCATTGCATCGCAGGAAATGGAAAGATCGAGGAGAACAAGCAATCCAGAATCCGGAGACGTTTCAATATTTCTCGAGATCAATACGGCTGTCGAAATCGCTCTCCAAGACGACAAGGGAGGCTACCTTCATTTGGATGTGGAGTGGACGTTTTTCGAATTCCTCGAGAAGCAGTTCGGCGAAGCAGACATCAAGGTCGCTTCAGTTGTGACCCTCACTGGTTCGGTTTTGTATGCGCAGGCGACAACTTGCGGCGATTACATCCGCACAACGTGGCCGCGCAATGCCATTTTTTTAATTGGATTACTCCAAGATTTCTGGGCAAAGTACAGGAAACGCTCAGAACAGAGTAGGTTTCGCCTTTATTTCTCTTTCCATAAGGCTTTAGTATTGTGATCAGTGGTCACTGGTGGACCCAAAGCGTACCCTTCCACGACTCGAGGACGCTAGGTGGCTTTTCCTTGCCTTGCTTGATACTTCTTCATTGGCAAGTTCTGTACTAACCTCGTCATAGGTCTCAACCAGTTCAGGGGGCATTTGAATAGCGAGCATTTGGAAATCAAGTATAGAGCCTCGTCGACTGTGATGGAGCTTGAAGCCACTGGGGATGAAGAAACGATACGGGACCTCGTTCAGATGCTTGCCTGGGCTGGAGCAGCATTTGGATGTTCTTCCCCCGATGAAAATGTCGACTATTGTCGTGCGGGCATTTTAGCTTTCGGTTCCCACGTCTCCATAGACTTTTGGAAAGAAACACTGCCCAAAAACGCAGAGGCTTGTTGGTTACCACTCTTCTCGGGAGTGTCGATCGCTTACGGCTTTCCTATACCTCGACGACGGGGTGAGATTGGACTCGAGATACCTCTGCAAATCCTCACCGCGCTGTTGGGCGCCGTTCGCGCTGTCGAATATCAGGGCGGCGTTGTCATCAAGGGATTTTCCAGCATGATTGTACCTACTGAGAAGAGAATTGATATTATCCAGTGGCATCTTTTAGCTAACACAAACTGTGAGGAGCGTCTCTCATATCGTGACGGTCTCCTGCGCTGCCCGAAGCGAGCTTTGATGGACGAAGTCGACCTCGAATGTCTTCAGAAGACGCGTGCGGTGCTTGGTTGGTGCTCTGCCACACGCTGTTCGCTTGGTAGTCATGATGCCAACTACAGCTCCATCGACTACTCAGGCGCGGAAGAAGCTGGGGGGTCGATCAGTTTTACAGGAGGAAGCTTAGGCTTTCAGCAATTTGGCGTGGCACAAATCGACTTCAAACTGGGCCCAAAGGACGGAAAATGCCACTTCCATCGCACTGGCCCTTACCGGAGCATAGTGAGTGCGGCAGAAAAGACCCGAGTTGTCCTCTACGACACATCAGATCAACGAGGATGGCTCGTACCGGCGTCAGAAGTCATCCTACACATGTGTCAACACCGTCACCGGCTCGAGCCGTTTGTGGTCGCCGGTTCATCAGTCCTCCTGCCTTCTCCCGAGACCACAGGACAGTCTGTTAAAGAGGCTAAAGAGGTACTCTTGGAAAACGAGTCGCTTACTCTGACCGAATCCTCGAACGAGAAATACACCTTGAGAGACCTCGTTTTGAACTACTGGTCACTCCTCGAGTTCCTGCTTGACCAAAACGTGAGAAGGGATCAAGCCCACGGAACGAGCAACCACTTCTCCCTACAAGAAGTGCTGCAAGGTTATGAATACAGGTCTGTGGTTGAGGAGCGCTCTCCTTTCCGGAAAAAGCGGACAACCCTGAGAAGGTCATGTGGTGGCTGGCCAGCCCTAATACGAGACGTCGACGCCGTGGTCCTTTTTGCCAGCGGATTCGAGGACATACTGCGTCCTCTGGAAAACGACCAGCTTCAAGATATATGCGTCAAGTGGCGTTCCATGCCCAGAGAGATGAGCTATCTTGCTACCACTGTCAAAATCCTAAGAGACCTTTACGAAGTTGCTGGAAGTCGCTCAACCAGAGAATACCTCACTTCGACTCGCCTACGATGGGTACAGGGTAAATCGAGTCTATTCGAGCCTTGCACCTCTCCGGGAGCGTCCAATTGTGACTGCGTACGCCTACAGAATGTGACAAGAGGGTTCTTCACCAAGAGGCTATTGGTTCCAGGGCCAGTCATTGACGAGTTTGACCGCGGCGCGGTAATTTTTGGTCGGTCTAGCTCTGCCTCGACAAAACCCAGGCCGAAGTTGGACGCGCTTGAAACGGGTGGGATGAACAGCCAGCGAAATGCGATCTTTGCGCTCTTGGGGACAACCCATCCGTCTCGAGATGTTGAGCATCGGTGTCAAGGAGAGCCTCTCCCTACTTTCGAGCCTTAGGTTCGTTGACCACCCCTCTGAACAGCGCTTATACTGGAGAGCATGGCCCTGCATTGCAGCCCTTCCTACCCAGGCCGCTCAAGGAGCGAGTATCGAGGAGGGCAGAGGGTCTCACTGCTTCAGAAGTCTCTCACGCAGCGAAATGATCTCATCTGGTAGACAGCGAGCCGAAGATTCCCTGTACGGCAATTATTCATGTGCAGAAATGGATGTCGTGGCGGCGCATTTACGGGCTATTCGATAGGAGCTGCACGTATACACGTATTGTTTGTGTGCACGGTCATATGCTGCTAGTATATTTAATTGCCTTTGATGGAAGATGTCTCTTCCTCTTTTTCTTCTGGTGGTTGTTCTGCCTAGCTGGGTGCCTGGAGCTAACACATTTTTAGCATATACAAGTATACAAATCAGTATTTCGCCATCCCCAAGCGACCCGCCGTGCCCGCTTAGATCCCTTGTTGACAAAAAGACACGCCCTGCAGACTACATGTACATGACCAATATGCGTCAGGGAGAGGTAGAGAGTGTGGTAGAGACACAGAACAGGGATTCAGTATTATTTCTTGTCTTGTTGCATTCGCTTGTTCGAGTCGTGCAAAGTATACCGAGTATATATATATATATATATACCACAAACAGAACCCTGAACTTCTTGGTCTTTATATTTCTATACATCTTGGACAGATTTTCTTTCGATATTAGGAGAAAATCCAGACTTGAAATTCCCTTGAGTTTTGAGATTATTGACGACGACGACGACGACGACTTGCACACACAAACCATGTCTATCTCTATGTCTAAATCTGAGCCTGCGCCTGAGTCCGTGCCTCTTACACCAGGAATCCACCTCTTGACTGCCTCGACGCCCAACGCCGCAGCCATACTCGACGGGATCGTGCACATCCACGCCTCGTGTATCTTGAACGACGGCACGCTGGCTACGTTTCTGCCTCCGCTGTCGCACGCGCAGATCTATCGGTGGTGGGAGGAGCGGTTGAGAGAGGTCGGGCGCGGCGAGCGACATATTCTCGTTTGTCTGTCGAGCGTCCGGGAGCGCACTGTGACGACTACAAATACGCCCTCGCCGCCGTGGGACGCCGATGGGAGAGCCTGGCCCGTCATATCGTCTCCCTCGAAAGGGTCTCTTGGAGGGACCAAGATCACTACTACGAGTACGCCCGAGAATCCCACATCTACAGACCCCACGAACCCAGAGCTAGAGCCAGAGCCAGAGCCAGAGCCAGAGCCAGAGCAAGAACATCTCGACCTCTCCGGCGTCGTCACGCTCGCGACGCCCTTCTCGCAGACGGGGCCCTTCCGCGCCCTCGTCGAGAAACTCTTCGTCTCCCCGCTCCACCGCCGCCGCGGCATCGCCACGCGGCTGATGGCGCGGCTCGAGCGTGTCGCCGTCGCCCACGGCCGGTGGAACCTCATGCTCGACACCGAGGTCGGATCCGGCGCCGAGCTCGTCTACCCCAGGCTCGGGTACGAGAGGCTCGGCGTCGTGCGGGAGTACGGGTTTTCGCCGCGCGACGGGAGGTTGGTGGACGAGGTGTGGTTCTGGAAGGATCTGAGGGCGGTCAAGGACAAGGAGACGAAGGAGAGGGAGACGGGATTGGAAAAGGAGGAGGAGAAGGGGTCGGGATGAGCCGTGGAACAGAGCACGGATATCTCTCTTGTGTCACGCTGAAAGGCGGGAAATGGAGGCAAGAGATAGAGAAGTTCGGGTTTAGTCGGTGGAGAATATAGGAGTTGGGATATTGCAGCCAGTTAGAACCAGATCTTGCTGCGACGCACTGACGCACTTCTCTTGAAGCTCTCTGTTGTGAGCTCCTTGGAGCATTCTGAGAACTAATATCCCACATTCCCGGTCACGGTATAGCATGCACGCCTGCCAAGAGGTTGTCTCAGCTCTCCATTTATATATTCTTCTAGGAACAAATCGAGACGGTCCCTTAGAGATGCGCCTTAAAGAAATCCACGAAGAACCCTGAGTGCCAGAGTGCATAACTACCTGCGTTCGAAAGGGGGGACGGAAAAGTTGAGCGACAAGGCTGCGGCCCAATTAGGCTTAGTGCCTTGGAGGTTCCAAAAGTCGTTTCTCCTGCTGTAGCTTCGAATTTCAATGAATGCACTGACTGCATCAACAATTTCTTCGCATAGCTCCCACTCCGCGTCTTCGTTTCTTCTCTCCCCCCCCCCTTTGCGATCCCGTACCACTCGACCCCCCCAAAGATGCATACCGTCCCTTCGATTCGTGCCCTGCACGCTCTCCGCGCCCTCACGCGCCTCACAGCCCCGGCATCAAAATATACACCAGCGATCCCCCGAGCTGCATCGTCTTCGCTGCCGCTGCGTCCGCACCATCGGGCGTTCTCGACGACCCCTTCCCTCTCCGTGACGCTCAACCAGCTCCGGACGCGCCTGGGCTCACGCAAACCCAAGAAACTGCGCCACGCCGTCTCCCCGGCTCTCAGCGCCGCCAAGCGGCCAGCCATGAAGGGCGTGTGCCTCAAGGTCGGCATCACCAAGCCCAAGAAACCCAACTCGGGCCAGCGCAAGACCGCAAAGGTCCGGCTGTCCAGCGGCAGGGTCGTCTCGGCGTACATCCCCGGAGAGGGCCACAATGTGCAGCAGCACAGCGTCGTGCTGGTAAGAGGCGGCAGGAGTCAGGATTGTCCTGGTGTCAGATATCACTTGGTTCGGGGGGCTTTTGATCTGGTGAGTCTTGGGTCATTCGGTCTTTCGCCTCGCATTAGCGTGTCGCTACTGGGTTGGGAACGTTTTTCTCACGCTGCTTTATAGGGAGGTGTACCTACTCGAATGACCAGTCGGTCCAAATACGGTACCAAGAAGCCGAAGACGACATGATGGCGGTCTACGCTTTCTAGGGTTGATGCTTGAATTTTGGGGATCTGGTGTCAGGGATCGGAGGGGCATGGGAGTGGATGGGAGTTGGGGACGTAAGGAGGAACAGAGTTCCCTCCTTTTCCCTCTAATTTGGTTGTGTTCTCAAGCAACGATCCAAGGTCTGCGAACTAGGAGGAGCCATGAAAAACCGATCATCTCCCTGTGCTGGGGTTGTATACAAATCACAGCCTTTGCGTAGGAAGTAACGGGTTTTTTTCTCCAAACCTACACCTACCAACCTTTCGAGGCACACCCGCTACAGAGATGACAGCCTCAACCCGTCTTGGACCACATCTATCAGCACGTCCAACAGCGACCGTCCCTTTTATTCACTCCAAGTCAGCACACTGGGACCACCACTGACTGCCTTTTCCTTCGCCATCTCTTTGTCTCTGGGCACGCCGAACTACATACATGTAACACACACACTTGGACGAGACAACCAATCCCTTTTCGCTTGGACTTGGATTTGTCCAGGAGAGCAGGTCAACCCTCACAATATACAGCCATCTCGTGGACTTTAGGAGCACCTCAATCCTCCAAAGTTGTGCGGATATCAGACACCCCCTTCCTCCGCCGACCTGGACAGGCAGGGGGATGAAACAGATTGCTCCCTCAAGATATCAATTGGAAGGAGAGGGAGAATGGATGGATTATAACCTACAAGGTACTCATAGATATGTACCTAGGTAGTTGATCTCTAAGGCAGTCCTCCCTCCCCAAGGGATATAAGGATGTATGTATGTATATTCTCAGAATAAAGAAATAGATATTCAAGAGCCGAGACTATACGTGTATCTGTAATTGAAACATATCAATAACGTCGTTTCATCCCTTTACCGACTATCCCTGGTTGACCCTACATACAATACAGGGCGCTGGCGGCAATGTGCAATGTGCAATGTGCATTCGCGCGTTCAAATTCATTCCTTTCCTCCTAGTGTGGTACAGTGCAATTCCCAATTCCGGTCCCGACTTGACGAGTCGATCACTCCAGCTCTGATCCATCACGATACAATACGAGATGAGACAAGAACCTCGCCTCGGTCTGGAGAGCAACCCCTTTTCGGTTCTGTCCTGCAAATGTGTTCACTCTTGCCAATGTCCAAATCCTGGATTTCCAGCCCAATCGACCGACCAACGCCCCTCGAATGCAAAAATAAAGGGGACAAGGCAACTTTTCTCTACACAGTCCCAACGTTCCTTTCGTTCGTCTGATAGACAGGAGATCCAGTGCTCGTCAGTCTCTCGTGGTGCGCAAGATCACTCGAATATCTGTCCTGGGGCAAATTTCCAAGAGAGGCAGTCTGACAAGGAGGAGGCCCCGAACGGTGTTTGATGGTGAAGACGTGACCGTGAAAAGTATGGATGCATGCAACGTCGTTCCGGAGCTCGGGCATAATGAGAATGTCCGACGGCCGGGTTGCCTGAGAGCAGCTGCTCACCCAGAGTTCTCCGGCTTCGAAGGCCTTTCAGGCCTTTTGTACCAATTCTCATCTTCGTCACGAGTGAGCCCGCGTTCGTGCCACTCCGCAAGGCGTTCCGCCCATGAAAGCAACTTGCGCCTCGTCCAGGGAATCCTCATCAAAATAATCGTCAAAACCGACCCCACGCTAAACGATATGGATGCATATTTCAGGATCTCCCATGACAGGGAAACGCCCGAGTCTGACTCGTTCTGCTTGTTGCCGTCACCATTGCCATTTCCATTGTTACCTGGATTTCCAACAGAACCGGCGGCTAGTCATACCTGAGCTTCCCATCCCTCAGGCTTCTTAAGCTTGTTGAGGTCAAAAAACCGAGAAGTACAGCTGTACGGCTTCCAATCGAAATTGTCGGCCGGATTACAGTGGCAGCGGAGTTTCTGGCGCACGTCGTCTCCCGTCGGACAGTGCGTAAAGGGGACGTGATAGTAGGCAATGTCGTTGAAAAAGTGGATCTCGTCCTTCCTCAGAAGCAGACCAGCAGCGATGGAGTGCACCGGAGCGTCGCCCCAACGTTCGTAGAAGAAACCGCCGTCTTTGTCGAGGGTTTCGAAGAAGTCGAGGTAAGGCTTAGATCGAAGCCAGTCGAGGTTACCAATCTCAAAGTTTGACCACTGACAAAGGTTAGAAATGCAAATACAAAGGGTTTCTTGCAGGACTTACAAAATGGCACTTGTTGTACGTCTCACCTCCGTCGTCACTCAAAAATCCCATTGAGTTGTCTGGGGAGATATGTTCAGGGTGCGCCTTGATGAACTTCTTTGTGCTATCCCATAACGTCGGAATGGTCTCGACATATTCGTACAGACTCAGGACGAAGCTATACTTCTTCTTGTTCTCCTTCATGTACCGGAAAGGATCATAATGGATGTCGCAGAATAACTCAACGCTGGGCTCGACTCGCCAGTAGTACTCGAATTGCTGGAGCAGTGGATGACGAAAGAAGAAACCTGACTCGAACCGACACATGTGTCGATAACTGACCGAGTCGCCATAGATGATCTTCCTCCGGCGCATGTCTTCTCGGACGGCCTCAGCTTTTTTCTGGTCGATCCATGACGGGAAGGACCAGTGTTCGACTGGAATCTCGCCATAGTGTGTCTTGCCCGAGACGAGAGAAGTTGTGACCTTCTTGAAGTTCTCATCGAACGGTTTGTCATTCAAAAAGACCCAGTCATAGTTGTAGTTCCTGTTGAACCGGTCTTCCACTTGTCTGATTGAGCGGGCAATTTCCCAGATATCGGTGTTTCTTGCCAGAGTCACAAACGTCGCATTCACTCGTTCTCCTGGAGCAGAAGATGAGAGTTCTGAGGGAATAGTGGGGACAACATTAGGCGTTGTTGTTTCTACAGATTGTGAAATATCCGCCGCAGGGGTGGTTTCCGGCAGATGAACGAGATCCTCGGCGCTCGTACTTGACTTGGACTCTCCGGGACGTTCCCATGAGAAGGCGGTACCCGAAGTCAGCGGCTGTGCATAGGACGGCAGTGACGAGGTCGAAATAAAGTAGATGATGGTAAGTCCCTATTCATGTCAAGTCAGTATGAAATGTCTCACACCTGGGCTGGCTGGGTTCCGTGTAACTCACGAAAACAGCAAACAGTATATAACGCAGATATCTCCCTGAGCCGGTTGCCATCCTGGATGAGGAAGACCAGCAATATTAACAGGAGATGAGAAAGAGACCTGAGGAGCCGGCCGTAGCCGTACACGCAGGATAGACTGGAGTCGTAGGGCTCGAGGGACGATCGGCAGAAACGGTGCGATCAGCACATTGAGGCTTATGCAGTGAAGGTAAAACTGAACAGCCTAGACGCTGAAACGAAGACACAAAGTGGAAAGAGGCCTAGAAAAAGAGAAATTTCCTCGATCAGGACTTGGAGGTGTTAAAGGAGTGAGGCAGGTCGAGGAAACATTTCAGTTCGCAATAGGGAGAGCCGCAGGACGACGCGCAAGCCCCGAGACCAACGTGTTGCAGGAAACTTTTCTGTAGTGATAGAAGGGGAACGCCTCAATTCCAGTTAGCAAGTCTCGGGCACATGGGGCTGAATACGTGGGCTTCTTTTATGGAAGTTGGCCCCCTGGACGCTGGGATCTGGATGCGTGATTCGAGTAACGGGCATGGTGTTTGTGCCCGCTTAACAGGCTTAGCAGGCTAGGTATGGGCAACTTAGGCGGGAAGGGCCCCGGAGGCTGCAACTAGAGGCTAGAGAGGCTTAGCATCAAAGACCTCACCAATCGCCAGCTCGCCCGTTTCGAGACTAGTGTGCGTCACTGATTCCGCTTAGCTGCCACTTGCCCACTCTTCATCACCTGCGGTTTACATCCCACAATCCATCGACAGCGCCATTCTTGGATCGTTGGTCTGCAGACAACTGAGACTCACTTTGTCATCTCCCGCAGGTCATGTCATAGTATCTTTGCTTCTCATCTCCGTCTCTCCTCGTGGATCATGCGAATAGGCATTGCATTTTGGTCACTGTTGAGAAAAGAGGCGGGTTTCAGTGAGGTGAAAATAACAGGACCGCCATCTTGAGCCTGATCGCCTGATCAGTTCAAGTTCCATCCGTGGTTCGGTGCTATGTCGTTCTTTGGCTTCGACACTTCCCTTCCCAGGGACAAGCCTGAGGGTGCAGGCAAGGGTATTTTTGAACACACAAACCCTTTCGCCGAGGTCGCAAAAGCTAGGAAATTGCAGGCATTTCAAGACAACCAGGACGAGATGTAGGTGATCGATTCCTTACAAGCATGATATACAGGTCCTAAGCTTTTTTCAGTCTCGACTTCGAAGATACATACGATGGGCTAGGCGATCAACTCGAAGAGGCTGGCGATGACTTCAACGATGATACCTTTGGTGGCGGCGCTGAGGGTGCTACGGGCCAGGGCGCCGTGGGACAAGATTATGACTTTTTTGGGAAAACGGCACAGGTCTCAAATGTCATCAACGAGGAGCATGTGCGCTACAACTTGCAACATCCACAACAATCGGCAGCGCCCGCGCAACCCGCAAAGGCCAAGAGGACCGGATATGAGAGATATCAAGATCCGGGTTACATTCCAGATATCCAGGCAAAATCCGGGGCTTGGGGCACAAAGTCAAGCACAGCCGCTGCTCCATCTGGCGATGGCCGCATCAGTACGGCTCGCAGCACTGCTCCAGTGTTTTCCGTTGCTCCTGAGCCTTCACCTCCACCGGCACCCATTTCGCAACCTCCAATGATGACCCTCGAACAGGTTGAGGCAGCCCTGCTCGCTGAATCTCAAGCGCGACAGGCACAGCTCGCATATTCTCAACCTCAGCCATATCCGTTTCCAGTCCAGCCAATACACTCACAACCTCCACAGCACTTCCCAGGCATGGGACTTCCTCCCGGCTTGCCCCCCCAGCCTCAATCGCAACCTCCTCTCGACGCTCCTAGGAGTCACACGCGCATGCCCTCACAGCCACGTGCACCTCAGCAGCCTCAGCAGCCTCTGCAAATTCTGCAAAATCC